CACATGGGGCCCAACCTTCTCCTTCTAGTGTGGCACATAGGGGCCAACACTCATTGTCAAGTTTTGAATCTGCCATATTGATGGCCACCAACTCATCTAACCATTTCATAATGAATAAACTTTATTTGTAACTTGGTCTAATTTTATTATTTAGTCCTAACATATCTACATGTTGCTAAAATTGAATTTAATTCACTTTGTATTTGATAGCTTCATTTATGAGGGTGTCACTCGCCAAATAATGGCCATACTTAGGAGGTATATAGGGTCACATGCAAATGGGAGCAATTCCCTTAGGAAAGGAAGGACAACATTTTTAATAAATTTAAGGTAATACTATATATCCAAACTATTATTTGTTTTAAATAACAACCATTTCTAATTGATATATTTGCAACTTCACAAAACTATTGTACTTCTGATAGATGATGTACACATGGTGGCCATACCATGATGCCAATATACAACAATCCTAAACAAACTCACAAACAAAATTACAAGAATACATTTCATAGAATAAAGAAAATAGCAATCTAGAAAGTTAAAAGTGATGACCTAAGGGATCTAATAAGGATTGTGCCTAAATATATGCAATCAAGTAAGTGGGAGGCAATCTATAATGGCTGGATAAATACACCAAACTATCAGAATAAGTGCATAAAGGTCAAAGAGAATAGATTAATTCAGAAAAATGGGTCAATTGTAAAGCATACTGGCAGTTCGATTTCATTTGCTAAGTGCAAATGTAGAATAGTAAGTTTCTTATCATAGTCACATTTATTATATTTATTTATATAAATTATTTATTTAATAAATTAATATACTAGGAACAAAGTGATCGAGGGTTAGCCAAGTTGATGTCCATGACCGTACTTATCAGACAAAGTAAGGAGCAAGTGATTACGTCGACAACAAGTTTAAGAGGGTTTGAGTAAGTTTACAATACATTAAAATTTACCTTTATAATTTTTACAGAATAGATAATCTATTATGCTGCAAATTTTTCTTGACAAATGATAATACATTTGATTTTCGAGTATGAGCAATTAAATTAAGAGAGATAGACCATTATAGTCTGAACCCACATCCCCTTCCTTGTTCTCCCTCTTTTGATCCATAGAATGGTTATTTTTTCCATTGCCACAGACCTATTGTATCATGTGATTCTTAACTTTGAACATAACTTAATTAACATTTCAGTTTATATACTTTTTTTAAGAAAGTATTCTTTCAATAGCTTCTAATACCTCTCATGTACAAAAATACTAAGGTCTACTCATGACTAAACAAAACTGTGCTTCTAACTGAACCAATTGATGCTTTTGAACCTTAGTCTTAGACTTGTTTCAGTTAACAGAGATATATGCATATAACTGAAAGAAGATGTGCTTGTAACCATATAGAACTATGCCTATAATTGAACAAATTGATGCCTGCAAGATAGTCTTGAGTTTATGCTGTATAAAGGTAGATATCCACATGTAATTGAATGAAAATATGCTTGAAACTGAGTTGAAATCTATTTGAAACTAAATAGAACTATGCTTACAACTAAACCAATTGATGCTTTTGAAACTCAATATTAGACTTGTTTCAGTTGACAAAGATATATACATGTAACTGAACAAAGATATGCACGTAACTAAACAGGACTCTACTTTAACCATATAGAACTATGCCTGTAACTGAACAAATTAATGCTTGCAAGACATAGTCTTAAATTATGTTGTATGAAAGGATATATCTGCATATAACTAAGCAAAGATATACTTGTAACTAAACTGACATCTGCTTGAAACTAAACAATATGCATGTAAGTAAACATAGATGTGCTTATAACTAAATAGGACAATGCTTGTAACCATACAGAACTATGCCTGTAACTGAACAAATTTATGCCTACAAGACATAGTCTTAAATTAAGTCGTATAAAGGGAGATATTTACATGTAATTGAACGGATATGCGCTTATAACTGAACTAACATCAACTAGTAACTCAACAAAACTATGCTTGTAATTGACCAACTAATTCTTGTATAATTGAGGCTCAAAATTGTTAAGTTAATAGAGATATAAGCATGTAAATGAATGAAGATGTGCTTATAACTAAATAAGGTTCTGCTTGTAACTATACAGAGTGGTTCCTGTAACTGAACAAATTAAAACTTTCAATACATAGTTTTAAATTATGTTGTATAATGAAGATATCTACATGTAACTCAATGGAGATATGTTTATAACTAAATTGACATATGCTTGAAACTAAACTAAATGGTGCTTTTAATTTAGCCAATTGATGCTTGTGAAACTTGGGATTGGACTTGTTTTAGTTAATGGAGATAATATGCATATAACTGAATGATGATGTACTTCTAACTAAACAAGACTCCACTTGTAACCATATAAAACTATGCCTGTAATTGAACAAATTAATGCCTGTAAGACCTAGTCTTAAATTAAGTTGTACAGAAGGAGATATCTGCATATAACTGAACGGAGATATACTTGTAACTAAATTGACATTTGCTAGTAACCAAACAAAGCTGTGCTTGTAACTAAACCAATTGATTCCTGCATAACTTAGGCTCAGACTTGTTAAGTTAATAGAGATATGCATGTAATTGAATACAGATGTACGTGTAACTAAACATGGCTCTACATGTAACCATACAAAACTGTTCTTGTAACTGAACAAAAGGAAGATATATGCATGTAACTAATCAAAGATACACTTGTAACTAAACTGACATTTGCCTAAGACGAAACAGAATTGTGCTTGTAACTAAACCAATTGATGCATGTAAAACTTGGGTTTAGACTTGTTTTAGTTAACAAAGATATATGTATGTAACAGAATAGAGATATGCTTGTAACTTAACAGGACCTATTTGTAACTTATAGAACTGTGCCTGTAACTGAACAAATTAATGCCTATAAGACATAGTCTTAGATAAGGTTATATAAAGGGAGATATCTACATATAACTTAACAGAGATATGTTGGTAACTAAATTGACATCACCTTGTAAGTAAATGGAACCATGCTTATAATTGAACCAATCGATACTTGTGGGATTTAAGTTTAGATTTGGTGCAATAAACAAAGATATATGCATGTAACTGAACAGAGATGTGTTTGTAACTAAACAAGGCTCTACTTGTAACCATACAGAATTGTGCCTATAACTCAGGGCCTTAGTTTTGGTACCATTAATAGAAAGATGTGCATGCTTGGAATTGACTAAGATCTACTTGTAAGCAAACAAAACTGTGCTTGTAACTCAACTCATTGATGTGTTCAATTACAAGAACCATCCTGTTGGGTTACAAGCATTGCCCCATTCAATTATAAGCATAGTTATAGTCAATTACACGCATTGTTCTGTTTGGTTACAAATAGATCTCAATTCAGTTCCAAGCTTATCTCTGTTCAGTTACATGTGCATCTCTTCATTTATGATAGCATATCTAAGCCTAAGTCTTCCAAGTATCAATTGGTTCAATTATAAGTACAGTTCCATCTGCTTGCAAGTTGTTAATTGTGCACTTATGAATGAAGTTACATTCTTAAGTGGAAGTCATTTGACATATATTTTTCAAAATGCTTTCTTATTATCATCTATTATTTTATTTCTTTTATTTTTATTCCATTTATTTTAATTTTATCATTATGTAAAGGTAATGTGATTAGTTGTGATTGATTTTGATTTACAATAATTGTATACTTTTTATTGATTTATTTCTAGGAGGAATATGAGTAGTCATCTAGTAGTCAATATGGTAGCAACCCTACTCTAAAGGGCTCATTTGATGCATAAAAATTGTTTGCAATTAGTGGTGGATCTTGCTAGAATTGAATTTATGGGTTTGGAAACTTATCACTATAAAGTGCTTGCTTCTATTGGCATTTTATCAGAGTCCATCTCCTTAGCATCTCCTTCTGGATATATTAGTTCAGATCAATTGCAAGGGACAATTGTTAAAATACTTGTAGATGAGAGACAAGCAGCTACATCATGACAAACACAAGTGCTTGAGAAGATGAGAAAATTAGTTGAAGAGACAATAAAGGTTAGAGGGGAGGCTATGATGGCTACAATAGGTTCAATGATGGAAAAGTTTAATGTAATGCACGGTGCATCATCTAGCCAAAATGATAGGAGTGGAGAGGGCAATTAGCAGTGAAATTGTAATTGAACATTCTAATATTTTAAAACTTTACATTATTCTTTCATTTTTTATGTTCAAAAATAATTATCAAATTGTATTATTAAATATTTTGATATTTGAAATAAACCATGATACAATATTTAATCACTTTTTATGTATGCTTATGGTGAATTAGAATTGAAATGATAAATATGCTTATAAGAATTGAAATTGTAGATATGCATTATAAGAATTATAGGACTAGTGATCCCTAAAATGGGTCACAAGGAAGTCACAAAATTAGTGTCGCCATTGTGACCCCATACACATTTAGGATAATAAAATTAATAGGAACACTAATTAGTGATTGTCTAGTAATGAAAAAATGGGGGTCACTAAGTAACTGCACATAGGGTCACTAATATGTCTCTAATTTTGTTAACTAAAGGGTTACTAACTAATTAGTGACGACCTCTATGCAGTCACTAAATAGTGACCACAAAACTGGCGGTCACCAATTAGTGATCGATGATGCGATCACCAATTAGTGACCATCAATTCTGTAGTCAATATTTAGTGACCGATATTGTGAACTAGTGAGAGAAACGATTAGTGATCGGTCACTAATTAGTGACCGAATTCTGCCGGTCACTAAATTGGATTAGTGACAAGGCATTTAGTGACCAAATTAATTAGTCACAAATGCGGTCACTGATTCATTCAGTGACCGCATTTCTATGTATTAAGTGACCTCAACTGCGGTCACTAAATCAACTTTTTCTGGTAGTGCATGGATACAACACAAGCTTTAGAAATTATCACAGAAGGTGAAGAAAGGATGAGCAAGGAGTATGGGGAGTTAGTGTTGTATGTTCCACATGCTAAATTCTTCATGCCCTTTACAAAGATCAAGGCTATTGGATACCATCTAAACACTTGAAAGGTATGATCTCTTTCTAAAAAAACTTCAAAGCTCAGGACTCTCATATAATTTTAAGCACTTTTCCAAAATCTGGCACTACATGGATAAAAACTCGTGTATATTATTCTTAACAGTTTTCACTAGGCCCCAATAGTGCCACTCACCCTCTCCTTGTAATCCTCACAACCTTGTTCCTTTCTTTGACATCCAAATTTATGGTGATGGAAATGAAAATCCTAATCTAGAAAACCTACCTAATCCACATACTTTTGCTACTCATCTTTTATTCTCACTATTGCCACCAAGCATCACATATTCCAATAGCCGCATCATGTATATATGTCAAAATCCTTCGAATGAGCTTATCTCCTGTTGGTACTTTTTTACAAATCTATGTCCAAAGCACAATGAGTCAAATTCGATTGAAGAACTAGTCAAGATGTTTCAAGAAGGAACATGTGGGTATGGGCCATTTTGGGACCATGTTTTGGAGTATTGGAATAAGAGTTTGGAGAAAAAAGATATGATTTTACTTCTTAATTATGAAGATTTGAAAGAAGATATTATAAGTCAATCTATTAAGCTATCAGATTTCTTGGGATCACCATTTTCTGAGAAAGAAAGAAAGAGAGGAGTGATAGAAGATATATCAAGATTATGTAGTTTCAGAAATTTGATAGAATTAGAGGTGAACAAAATTGAAGACCCTGTACAAGGAATACCAAACAATTTTCTTTTAGGAAAAGGGAGGTGGGAGATGGGGTTAATCATCTAAGCCCAGAAATGGCAGAAAAAATAAACAAACCTGTAGAAGGAAAATTCAAGGATTTTGGCATTACTTTTAAAATGACTTCAGAGGTGAAAAAGAAATATTGATAAGAGTAAGTCAAATCATAGGTAGCTGTAATTCTTTCAAGAAATGTCTCGTGATCTTCACCGTTGTTGTTAATATTGTTATAATTGTTATTGTTGTTATTGATATTATTGCTACTGTTGATGGGAATTTAAAGATTTCTAGTGATTTGGAAATAAGTGCTTTTCATTAGATGTTTTGTATTCAATATTGCATATGGCTATATATTTTAAATCTTATACTATTTCTGAAAGCAACTAGTGCATGGATTTTGTGTTTTTTCAGAGGTGATGAAGATACTAATGGGAAAGCAAATTTGATATGTTTACACTTGATAATATGTTGCATGAGTTGCACGTGCACAATTTTAATTGTTGTTCTTTCCTTTTTTATTCTCAAATGGCAACTTTTCTTTCTTGGCAATAAATCTCATTATATTTCTCTTTCTTAAATCTAAAAATTATGACAAAACATACATTGAGTTAAATGTTTTATTTGGGTACAATTTTAGGTTGCCAAACCAACTGATCACTCAACCTAATGCAAAGATTCATTACAACCTCTCTCTCTCTCTCCCTCCCTCCCCCCCCCCCCCCAAAACAAAGCTACAACATATACATATATATATATATATATATATTTGTGTGTATGTAAAAGACTAAAGATTAACACACACCAAGCATCCATATTCAATTTGATTTTCATAAATTTGAGAACATCTAAATCTACCACTTTTATCTTTGAATTTTAATAAAATAGCTATCCCAATTGTGACTCATACTTGAAATAAAATAAAAGAGAAACATAATTATTTGAGTTGTTCTACTAGTTACAAGCTAATCGAAGTAAATGTCTTCTTGGAAAATTGAAGCTTGTGAGATATAAATTTTAGAATATAAAAAATTTCTTCTTTCATTTTCATTTCTCGAAAGGATTGAATGGAATCCCAACAAAAATATAACTTCAATGTTGGAGAATTTTTGTTTCTTTCTTGATGATTTTTTGAAAAATATATAAGCAAGTGGACATGTTGTATTGAATAAAAAAGCACATAATAAAGAAACTTAACACCACAAAACAAATACAGCAATCATACATTAAACAAAATAATATTTAACAATACAAAATACTACAACTTGAATTGCACGCACTTGTTTTCTAGGCACTTCCTAAAAGATAAGAGATTCAAAATGACACAAAAGCAAGAAGCTATCTCATACGCTTCTTCTTGCCTTTGCTGGGGCCTTGGAAGGCTCATGTAGGTGGCCAATAATCAGCTGATTATCAATGAAAATCTTCACATCTTGGACGGCTCATATAGATGTTGAATAAGCATCTGATCGGTAAAACCCATGTTTCAGCAACATGCGTATTTATCCTTTTTCGAAGTTGATCTTTGTAAACCTTGAAGTGATTTAATTTGCTGTCTTTCAAAATATTTTTCATTCTTTTCAGCAGATTTTGGAACCATTTGACTATTGACGAAGCTCTAAAATTTCTAGTGTCCTTGTAAGTCTCGGAGTTTGTTGACTAAAGGTAACTTCATTCTTATGTAGACAAATCCAGCAAAGTAGTCTAAAATGACTCAAAACACATCTTATCCGGAAAGGCTTTGTAAAAGGGATTACTTTCCTCTAAACAAGCTCCTTTCCAATAGGAATGCATTTGTGAGAACTCTCCGTATAAAAGATGTTAGCTTGGAGACTAAATCCAACTTCCGAATAGCTTTCTTTATTGGCTTGTTTCCCATTAATCTAGCAAAAATACGTTGGTTTGCAAGATGGTGCAATCATTTTATTAGAAATTTTCTATTTTGGGTCACCATTAATTATTTTAACTTTATCAAGATTAGATTTGCTTACATAATTCAAATTTGTAGATATATACCATAAATCCAATAAAGACAGTGCAATAATGATTTTATGAGTTGTAAATATCCACGTGAGATACAGATAAATGTTAACCAAAACATGTAACTAAAGAGTCCATAATATTTCTTTCCTTGTTTTAGGTATTTTATTTGATTTATTTAATATTTCTGTTAATAATAATAAATTTCTTTCTCATAGATAAATAAAATCTCGACATATATAGTAAGATATGGATCTCACTCACTTTAGTGTAAAAGGGGATAATCTTACCCTTATGACAGCATCAAATTAATATTTTCTCAATATTGATAATATTAAAAGTTTGAGTACCATTGAGTAGTAGGCCTAGGGGTGTTTACATGCACTTCTTCTTCAAAGTGCTTATTAGCTCTTCAATGATTGAAAAGTATTTAAACTGTTTGCAAACATACTTTCAACTCAAAAAAAATTAATAATAAAATAAAATAATCCTCTAAACAGTGAAAAATCAACTCCAATTTCTCTAAAAAAAAATATCTAAACAGTGAAAAATTAGAAGCACGGGATAAGAGTGTTTCTATTTTTAATAGCATTTTTTAAATAAATTAAAATTGATTTAAACTTCGACGTAACACTGTTACCCATCCATATTTTTTAATATTTCAAATTATCCTTGCAAACTTGTGCATCGGGAGATGGAGCCGGTTCATCTCCGCCAACCACGACGGTAGAGGAGCGCCCGATTGGTGAAAAGAGGAGAGGTGGAGGTTGACCTCTCTCCACCGACCATGGTGGGAAGAGGAGAGGCTGTCTGCCTCTGCCTCTGCCGACCATGGCCTTCTTCTTCCCCATTTCTCCCAAACATTGTAGAGCCCATGCCCGATTCCCTCCCTCTCTCTCTCTTTCTCTCTCTCACATCGGTGGTGTGCAGAGATGGTGACAAACGAGCAAGCAGGGCTGGCAGGCAACAATTAGAGGGGGTTGCACCGGAGCGACAAGGGAAAGCCATGGTTCCACAAGGAAAAGTAAGAATCGGTGGCGTGAGTACGAAGATGGTGAGAGACGGGGAAGAAGGGTTGGCAAATAACAATCGGGGATGTTTGCACTAGAACGGTGGTAAGTGAAAGCCACGGCTCTGAAAGGGAAAGTGCGAGTAAGAGAGAGAGAGACGAGGGGAAAAATGAAAAATTAATAAAAAATAATAAAATATATTAAAATAAAAAATTATATGTGTACACGTAAAAGGGTAATATAATTTTTTTATTTTAAAAATTTTTCAACAATTACTTTATAAAATTATTTTTTAAATATTATTTTATTAATTTTAAAAATATTTTTATACATTTTATAAACACCACTATTTCTCGTTAAAATTATTTCTTTAGACTTTATAATGACATGTTCGCATATAAAAGTACGGTGGATTAATCATGTTTAGGGGATTAAATTTTATTTAACTTTAGCATCAAAGCATTTATATAAAAATTCAAACCAGGCCGTTGGATTTGTTTGATGGTAGGACGAGATCAGTATCATTGGAGCTAGTTGGCCAAATCTCCATTTGCTTATGTGGGGCCCATAGCTAATGTGTTTTCTTCCCAGCAAAAATATACGTGGGGCTCACATCTAACGTGTTTTTTCCCCGGCAAAAATGAGTGTAGGAGCCTCGTCGGGCAAAATTAATGGGGGCCGTTCGTGCGCGTTAAATTATATTTGCTACATTGTCCATATGCATTTGCAGCCCTTCGATGGATCCGTCTCCCTCATCTACCGACACCAAATGTTATAATGTTATTGGAATACTAATCTAAAATAAAAATTAAATCATTCTAATTTATGATTTAAAGTCTTAAAATTTTTTTCTTTAACAAAAATGTTTTTTGTTTTCATATATTTTAAATTTTTTTTGTGTTGCAAATTTTAGGTGAAAATAAGTGAAACATAATAATAAAACAAAAAAAGGACTGTTTGATAAGATTTTTAAGAAGTATTTTTCAGTTTGAAAATTATTTCTAAGAGAGTTCTGATGCCAGTGACTATTCAAATAATTTTACATAAAAGATCCATGATCCATTGACATTAAATTCAGAACCAAATCTATGAAGGGAGCATTGTCCTTGATTAAAATTTTTGCAATGATCTGTCACTAGTAGGATGTAGCAACTATTTTATCTTTTTTCAAAGAATATATACTGCTTTTATGCCACTTTAATGGAATTTCCATATTTTCCATTCTTATTAAATAAAACATTTGATGTTTGGAAGCTGTTGTAAATTATTGGAAATATTAACAATCAAATTGAATTAATAAAGAAATTTTGGGAGATAAAATGCAAATGTGTCGTATCCCTATGTGATATATTATGTCTTAAACTACGAGTAATTCCATTCTTGATAAGATAGATTATAACCCACAAGTTATTCTTGAATAGGTAGAGATTGGTGAGATAAAGTGGGATTAAAACAAGGAAAGGCTTCTCCTTTTTTATTTAAATTTACATTATTTTTATTTAAATTGAATTACTAGACTCGATTGCAAGCAACAAACCTATGGGACCCATGCAAAGCTAGACATATATATGATTAGATAAATAAAATTTAGACATATATAATGAGATACGGATTCCCTCATTATAGAAGAGAAGAACTCAACCCTTAAGATAGCATCAAATTAATATTTTCTTAATATTTACAGCATTAAAGTTTCAGCACCATTAAGTAGTGGGCCTAGTGCATGGACTTGACAGTAACATGTATGCACATAAAAGTATGACGGATTAATTATGTTTGGTGGATTAAATTTTATTTAACTTAAGCAACAGGGCACTTACATAAAAATTCAAGCCAGGCCGTTGGATTTGTTTGATGGTAGGACGAGATTAGTATCATCGGAGCTAGTTTGGTCAAATCTCCATCCGCTTAAGTGGGGCCCATTGCTTGTGCGTTTTCTTCCCAGCGAAAAAATGTGGGCCCACAGCTAATGTGTTTTTCTCCCGGCAAAAATGAGTGGAGCCACAACGTGCCAAACTAATGGGGACCGTTCGAGCAGGTTAAATTATATTTGATATTTGTCCATTTGCATTTGCAGTCATTTGATGGACCCATCTCCCTTGTCTACTTACATCATATGTTATAATGTCATTAGAATGCTACTCTAAAATAAAAATTAAAACATTCTAATTTAAAAAATTAAGTTTTAAAAATTTTCTCTTTAACTAAAGGGTTTTTTTTTTAATTTCTAAGTCTTTTAAAAGATTCGATCATTTTTCTTCATGCTACAGATTTTAAGTGAAAAGAAGTGAAATATAATTCAAAAATAAAATGGATTGTTTGATAAAATTTATATAAAGTGTTTTTCAATTTTAAAATTATTTCTAAAAAGTTATGAGACTGGTGACAATCCAGATAGTTTTACATAAAATACGCAAGATCTATTACTATCAGATCTAGAACTAAATCTATCAAAAAAATATTATGCTTGATCAAAATTTTTACAATGATCCTGTCACAAGTAGGATGCAACACCTCTTTTATCTTCCTTTTTTTCTAGAATATAAAATGCTTTTCATGCAACTTTGAGGGATTCACGTATTTGACATTCTTATTTAATAAAAAGTTCAATGTTTGGAACTGATTTGAAATACTGGGAATAAAATGCAAAGGAGTCGTATCCCTGTCTTATATATTAGGTCTTAAACTATAGAGTAATTCCATTTTGTTAAGATAGATTACAACCCACTAGTTATCTTTGAGTGGAACGGGGATTGGTGAAAAAAAGTGGGATTAGGACAGGGAAAGACTTCTCTTTTTTATTTTTAAATTTGCTTTATTTTTATTTTAAATTCTTATAGTCTTTTTATACGATTATGTAATTAAATAACCAATTTAAAAAAAGAAAATAAAAATATTCAATAATGTTCTCGAATGGAAATTTGTGGTGAAAAGTGAAAAAGTTGTTTTAATCTTTTGTTTGGTTTATTTTTAAGCCTAAATAAAATGTAACTCCACGCAAAATAGAGAAATTTTATATAAATATATTTTAAAAAGTATAAATATAAGCTTCAGTTTTTTTTTGTCAATAATAAAATCAAGACTTAAAGAAGACATATGCCCTCCTCAACTCAACGTGACTTTACCACTTTTTTCTATCACACTAGGCCATAAAATTATTATAATTTCATTTTCATATGATTAAGTTAAATATGTTTTTAATTAAGGCTAAATATTTTAATACTTGAAAATTGCATTAAATGTTAATGCTATATTCTAAAGAAACTACCCTTCACCTACTACGTTTCTAATACACATAAAAATTAAATTGCTGTACTCTATTGTAAGCAATAAACCTATGTGCCCATGCAAAGCAGCGGACATACATGTATGGCGTTTTTTGTGTTATAAAAAGAACAAAATGATAAAATAGAAAATAAAAATAAATTCTAGTTTTTTGTTTTTGGATTAAATTTAAAAATTCATTCTGATTGAAAAATTCCATATGAATTATTTAAGTTGAAAGATACTACAAAACACCTTAGAGTTATCTAAAAATGACGGAGACATAACGAGAATTAAAATTAATACTTGACAAAATACAAAGGCAGATTTGAGGATCAATTTTTTGGTTGAGTATAGATATATTGGTATTCATTCCCATATTAGCTCAATCTTGTACGTTGGATGAAACTTGTTTAGTGGATTAAATTTTATTTAATATTAGAGCACTTGTATAAAAATTCAAGCCAAGCCGTTGGATTTGATTGATGGTAGGACGAGAAAAGCACCATTGCAGCTAGCTGGCCAAATCTCCATTTGGTTATGTGGGGCCCATAGCTAAGGTGTTTTCCTCCCGGCCCAAAAATATGTGGGGCCCACAGATATTGCGTTTTTCCCCCGGCAAAAATGAGTGGAGCCTCAACGTACAAAATTAATGGGAACCGTTCAGGCACGTTAAATTATATTTGCTATTTGTCCATTTGCATTTGCACCCATTTGATGGACCCATCTCCCTTGTCTGCCGACACCACATGTTATAATGTTATTGGAATGCTACTCTAAAATAAAAATTAAATCATTCTAACTTATGAATTAAAGTTTTAAAAAAATTTTCTTTAACAAAAAGGTCTTTTTATTTCCATGTATTTTAAAAGATTCAATCTTTTTTTTTGTGTTGCAAATTTTACGTGAAAATAAGTGAAACGTAATTTTAAAACAAAAAATGGCTGTTTAATAAAATTTATAATAAGGGTATTTCAGTTTCAAAATTTTTTCCAAGTGAGTTACGAGGCCGGTGACTATCTAGATAGCTTTACATAAAATATCCATGGTCCATTGGTATCAGATCTAAAATAAAATTTATCAAGGGGAAAATTGTCCTTGCTCAAAATTTCTACAATGATCCATCACAAGTAGGACCCAGCACTTGTTTTATCTTCTTGTTTTTAGAATATATATTACTTTTTATGCAACTTTAATGGAATTTCCATATCTGCCATTCTTATTAAATAAAAATCTATGTGAGAAGAAAGTAAAATTCCACCAACAATGTGACGGAGAAAGGTTAACTAATTTTAGGTGATTTAGTTGAAATTGCCATTCATGTGATTAAAACCCCACCTCTTGGATGACACAACACGATTTTCATCTTCTTCTGGCATGGATAGAACATAGGTTTCAGAAAATTACTACAAAAAATGAAGAAGGGTTTAGCGAGGAATACGAGGAATTAGCGTTCTCTTCCACAAGCTAAATTCTGGGATGGGGTCCTTTACAAATATCAAGGCTATTGGTTACCATCTAAAGGCTTGAAGGGTATGATCTCCCTCCGAAAACACTTCAAATCACGTGACTCCGATATCATTTTAAGCAATTTTTCAAAATCTGGCACAACATGGTTAAAAGGTCTTATATTTACTATTCTTAATCGTGCTCAATTTGCCCCCGATAGTGCCACTCATCCTCTGCTCATTTGTAATCCTCACAATCTTGTTCCTTTCTTTGATCTTCAAATATATGATGATGGAAATAAAAACCCTAATATAGAAAACCTACATAATCTAAGAATTTTTGCTACTCATCTTCCATTCTCACTATTGCCACACTGCATCTCATATTCCAATTGCCTCATTGTATATATACGTCGAAATCCTATGGATCAGCTTATCTCCCGTTGGCTTTTCGCTGTAAATCAAAGTCCAGAGCACAAGGAGGCAAGTTCAATTGAAGAAGTAGTCAAGATGTTTCAAGAGGGAATATGCGCGTTTGGGCCATTTTGGGACCATGTTTTAGAGTATTGGAATAGGAGTTTGGAGGAAAAAGATAGGATTTTGTTTCTTAAATATGAAGAGTTAAAAGAGGATATTATAAGTCAAATTAATAGCTTGGTAAATTTTAAAAATTAATATTTTTAGGATATTTTTTAGAGAATTAATTCAAAAATTAAAAAAGAGAAGTATTTGAAATTGGTAAAATAATAGTCTTATTTGAGGATTATCTATAAGCGTATCAAATGATATACACACACCTCACTTTTTATAATCCTTCTCACCTCTCCTATACATAAATCTTAGATCTGTCACAACAGACTCTAGTTGTTATACACCAGTCTGCTTGATGTTTATGCATGCATAAACATCTATATGACTATAGAGTTGTTGGGAAAGGTTTTAAGGTTGTGAGACTACAAATAGACGGAGTTGGGCACTAAGCCAAACCCCTCAGTCTTCTTCTCTGTCTACTGAAATCATGCACAAATTTTTAGCAAATGGAACTCAATCATTTAAAACACAGGAAATTGAAATGGAAATTATAACAACAAAGCCTTTTTGTGTCTTACAATGTGTACAAATTACATTACCTTGGCATCCAGTACTTTATCTGATGTTGAAACAACTCCTTTCCTCCGCTCTTTTTAAGGTCAAAACCACTAACTCATCTTTAATTCTGAGAAATAAATACCCATTTCAAATTTAAATATTTAAATATAGAAAAATCCAAACACCAAAAATTATAGATTTCTGTGAATTTTATAACTATAAAATAATTAGGAAGGAGATGGAAGCGAGACTCTACTTTCCATTAATTGATTCAACTGATTTTCGCAATCCTCTTCATGTAACATTGATTTCAAGCCGTTGAGTACATGTCTTAAGAATTCGAAACTAGATCCAACTCCATCCAGCCCATTGGATTGATTTTCACCTTCCTTCTCCTCGGTTGAAAACATTGATTTCACGTAATCAACAAGCAGAAGAAACGGATCTTCGTCCGGTTCTTTCGGTTGACCATATACATCCATAGTTAAATCTTCGTGGCTTGCAATGTCATTCATGAGAGAACGATATATAACGGTATTCAATTGTTCATTTCAGCCCCTAAAAACCTAGAGTATATGGGCCACCAATCTCTTTAAATGGTGAGTAAATTGGCAGAAGGAATAGCGACGTGGGAGGCTCTAAAGAATTCTATAGCAATACAGCGTGAATAACTAGGATTGAAGAGATTTCACGAATAGATTGGAATTTTTGCGAGATTTTGGAGGGAAATTTTGGGGCAAAGAATTTCAAAAATCTAAATAGAAATTATGCTGATTAACTTTTAGGATTAGCTATAGTCTATTAATATTCATATTTTTTTAAATTAGTACTTAATTGTGATGTTATTTAAAAGAGCATAAGATTATGTTTCAATAATTGAATTTTAAATATATAATTTTTTAATTTATATCAATTTAATTTAAAACAATTTTACATGTAGATATATGTAATATTTACAATAGACCAAATAGATACGCAAAGGTTTTGAGTGAAATTAATTTAGCCAAAATTGGACTTGGAGAAAGGATCCGGAAATACCATGATTAACTATAATTTCGTGAAAATAGGGAAATAATTTTACACTTAGTTATATTTTAAATTACTAATTTATATAAATTTGATTGATTATAAAAAAATACCTATTACAAATTATAAAAAGATTAATAATTTATACTTTTTAAATTAGTGTTTGATTAATATGTTATTTTAAAGAGAATGAAATTATGTTTTAACATTAAATTTTAGTCATATAACTTTTTAATTTGTATCAATTCAATTTTTTTAAAAAATTATGTCAATATATAGGTGGACATAACCTCAAACCTTGTAGCCCTGAACCATGTATATCACCGTTCTCATTGCCTTAATTGCTTTCTCGTGCTTACTCGATATCTATAATTATAAAGATAGTGAATATAGATTTATCAGTTTAAACTAAACTATTCTTCTAGTGCTATATAATTATCTACAATATTATACTAATTATTCTAATAAATTTAAATAATTTTCTACAAAATAATTTATCTTCATAATTTTAAAACTTCACATTTATCAACTACTAAATAATTTATCTCTATAATTTTTGGAACGTTGCAATGACTGCTTTCTTATTAATACTTCTACATATGGAACTTAAACATGTGTTTGTTTCTATTTTAGTGGGGGGTTTGTGGAGAGATCTTATTCTTTTTCAGGGAATACAATGCTTATATAAAAGTATTCCTTAATCATACATAATACATATATATATATATTATATCTGAATTAATCCATTCATAACTAACTTTATTATTGCATATGGGATAGAGATTTAATTTGAATTTCTTTAAAACCCAATTTTGGGATTTTAAAAGTTGATTTAAGTCTTTCATCAATCCATAACTTGTTCAATGTAGTCTCTTAACTTTAATTTGAACAAAGTGATGATTTTTTAACTTTAATTGGAACAAAGTGACTTTTTAACTTTAATTCATTGCCAAATGTAATCTGGGCCCTTTTGAGGCTGTGAATCCATCAAATTAAAATTTTACATCTATTTTATTAATTTTTTGCACTGAAATATACTTTTATTGCAGAAACTCATAATATTTGCATCAACATATATTTCATTGCAAAAACTAATAATTTTTTGCATCAATATATTTTCTTTGCAAAAACTAATAATTTTTGCTTCAATATATATTTTCATTGCCAAATAAGTTTTGCAGCATATATTTTTGTTGTAAAAACTAATTATATTTTGTATCAACATATAGTTTTGTTGCAAAAGCTAATAATGTTTGCCTTAACATATGTTTTCATTACAAAAACTAATAACTTTAGCGTCAAAATATATTTTTGTTGCATTCTCTAATGACTTTTACAACAACTTATATTTTCGTTACTGATAATTTTTGCATCAACAAATTTTTTGTTCCAAAACTAATGATTTTTGCATCCATATATATTTTTGTTGCCAAAACTAATAATTTTTGTGTACATGTATTTTTGTTACAAAAACTAATAATTTTTGCAACTAACATATCATTTTGTTGCAAAACACAAAACAATTGACATCAAAAAAATAATTTTGTTGCAAATTAGACTCTTCCTTGCCTTTTTTGTAGCAAGATATATTTTTGTTACAAATCATAGAGCATTTCCAACAAAATTAAAAATTGATGCAAAAATTTTGCTGCAAAAACCTGTTTTTCTTGTAAAAAGACCTAGGCAACCACAAAAACAAGGTAGCCAATAGTTGTAGAAGAAATAGGAAATGCAAGCGAGAAGAAGAAGAAGCAACAATCACAAAAGCAGAGGCAGTGGTCATATATATCTAGGGGTCAAAACTAACTAGGGTTTTAGATTGAGATTACATGAAAATGATACGGGGTTTAAAAATGATTATTAGTAGACAATATACCTAAAATAAAAAAAGCTAGTCAGTTGGTATTAGGTAAATAGCTAGTCAACTGTCAAGTTGTTGGATGGTCAGGATCAAGGCTGAACGATTGCCAAGTGAAAGATGAAGCTAGTGTTTTTTATGGAGCTGAACAATTGGTGATTGAGGTGATTGATTGATGGTAGTTGTCAACAATAGGGTTATAAGGCTATAGCAAAAAAGAGAGAGAGAGAGAGAGAGAGAGAGAGAGAGAGAGAGAGAGAGAGAGAGAGAGAGAGAGAGAGAGAGAGAGAGTGTGAAAAGAGAAATAGAAAAGGAGAAGAAGGTCGAAGACGGGGTTATAATGATATGAAATTAACAACGAATTACCAACAGAAAAATTATGTCCCTCTTGAGGGAAAATAACCCTTGCTATAATCCGATGATAAATCCACATAATTCAAAAACAGAGAGGAAAATATTCCTTGCTAATCCATTGCTAAAAATTATAATGGAAAAAACCCTCACTAATCCATTGCTGATTTGGATAAAAAATACCAAGGGAAGTGTTCTTTTGCAAATCCCTCACAAAATCCCTCTCATCCCTCACTAATCCCTCACCCAAGTTCGAACAAAAAATATATGCTTTGGTAGTTTTATTCATGCCTCTCTTCAACAAACAAACCTTAGTCTCTATATCTTACAAGAATTGATATATTCAAATTCAACAACAAAAACAAACTTATGCTTGAGTAGTTTTATTCATGCCCCTCTTCAACAAACAAAACTTAGTCTCTATATCTTACAAGAATTGATATATTCAAATTCAACAACAAAAACAAACTTGAGGAACTAAATGAACTAATTAGCAACAACTAATCTTAGTTTTAGTGTCTGACAAATCAAAAGGCCATGCTTGTAAGACTTAGAAACTAACAACATGTATCCATATTCAACATGGCGATGGAATTATTGCCTTAAATTTTTGATAGTGTTTTCCTTCATTGGTTGAATTGATCCTCAATGCCCTCTTGGCAGACAAGGTCCCAGAGCTCTTTAGAAGCCATCTTCTTAAACAATGTGGAGATGAATGCAGAAATAAAGATTTCGAATTAGCCCATTTTTGAAAACTCGGAAACGGAGCCAGTGTAGCTTGGTTAAAGCAAAATGCTTGTAGAGTCCAAGTACGAATTCTTTTAAGTAGTCTTTAATATAATCAAATTTCTAACTTGTTAAATAAAATTACATAATAGAATAAAGTTTTAAATGAATGACACATGTCATCACATGACATTTAGCTATTTTTAAATAGTATTTTTTAAAAATTTGCATTGGTTAATAATTTTGATACGTGTGAATGACAAATTTGATAACTCTCAAATTACTATAAAATATTATTTTTAAAAGTAGCCTTTTTTATTCCCTAAATTTTGTTTAAGATTGGATTTAGAAAAAAAAAAGTAAAGTGAATTTAAAAGAAATAAATTTGAGAAAAATATGTAAAAAATAATAAATAATAAAATTACTTTAAATATCGTCCTTTTTCAGACTGTAGACTCTATCCCACGGCCTTGCCATCAACCCTTGGAAGAGAGGACCACAAAGTTTTGAGGGATTTATTACACCCGTACCCCTAGCCAATGAACAAATTGTGTTTTCAAGGGGGTAGGTAGCCCTGATTGCTTGGATGAGAATTTCCTTTATATCAGTTGATTTATTTATTTTTTTTAATTCTTTCCCTCTCATG